AGGGCTGAGTGCAAGGTGGGGGCCAAAGAGGGACAAACTAACCCAGAAGGAGCACAATGTGTGTCATCGTCCCCCCAGGCACCAGCCCTCCCTCTCCTAACACCCCATGCATCCCTAATGTGGATTATAATAGATTCATCTGCAGAAAGGGGGAGAAGAGCCCCTGTACAACTTTCGATTCCAGGTTTGTTAAGTAGGACACGGTAACTAATCTACATCAAATGATTTAGCCCCTGGGACTCTGAGTCACAGGGACGCAGGTGGCGCTATGGGTTAAACCACTGAGCCTAGGACTTGCCGATCAGAAGGTCGGCGGTTCGAATCCCCGTGACGGGGTGAGCTCCCATTGCTCGGTCCCTGCTCCTGCCAACCTAGCAGTTCGAAAGCACGTCAAAGTGCAAGTAGATAAATAGGTACCGCTCCGGCAGAAAGCTAAATGGCGTTTCCATGCGCTGCTCTGGTTCGCCAGAAGCGGCTTAGTCATGCTGGCCACATGACCCGGAAGCTGTACGCCAGCTCCCTCGGCCAATAAAGCAAGATGAGCGCCGCAACCCCAGAGTCGATCATGACTGGACCTAATGGTCAGGGGTCCCTTTACCTTTACCTTTACCCCGAGTCACACAGAAAGCAAGCCTCTTCCAGCTTCCAACAATGGAACTGTTTCCACCAGGAGATTTTCCTTTAGCTCAAGTGAGGCTGAAGTTTGAGGCCCTCTAACTGATCTCACACCTCTGTGTGTTGATCCAGCAAGGGAGATCATTGGCATGCGGAAGCAAACCTGTAGAAAATGCACTGCACATCTGGATTCACCTGCAACCTGTAGTGAAATTCTCACCTGAACTCCACTGAGCTGGTTGGATCACCAGGGTCACCAGCTGTTCGGTGACAGCTGGAAATAAAGCTGACTTGCGTCCATCATGTTTTATTTGGGGAATGGCCATAGCTCAGTGGTGGACTTTGCAGGCAAGGGCCACAGGTTCAATCTCTGGTGTCTTAAGGTAGGGTCAGTGGGGGAAGAGTCCTGCCTCAAATCCTGTTGAGCCACTGCCATTCAATGTAGACAAATGAACCAGTGCTGTGACTGGTATATGGCAGCTTCCAATGTTTCCCTTTTCCTAGCTGCAATCCACACAGGGGGCAATTGTTGCCCCATGGCATATGAAGTGGCCCTTATTTGGAACAAATCTGCAGGACAGAGTCCACCTCCTTTCCGTTTAAAGGTGTTTGTGGAGGGGATTCGAAACGCCAAGACTCATGTCTTAACACTTCAAGGTTTGACATGCAAGCCATTTAGCAAACTTAAATGCTGCCCCATGAAGCAATGGCCACGCCAGCCGGCTTCCATGAAATGACCTCATCCGAGGTTTCACCCAGAAATTGTCATTTGATTTTAAGGACGCAACCAGTTTTATAACCCATTATGTGAATGGCACAGCCCTAAATATTCAGGCCTGACTAGACCTGAATAAGGGAGACCATTGTCTTTTGTACCCAACGAGGTTGTGAAGTTTAATTCCCAGGTTCAGTCTTTCAAAGGTGACGTCCAGGTTTCCTTTTAGGAGAAAGGCAGAGAGTTCGGACAGGGGAGTTGTCTTGTTTGGGGAAACGCTTCCCCGTGGGTGAGGAGCTGTCCATAATCATTCTTCAGCATCAGGAACACTTAAAGAGTCCATGGTGAAATTTCCACTCCTAATTGTGTTCTTAAAACAGACCTTTGCGAAATTTCGACGTTTACAAGCCAGGTGTTTTAGAATTCAACAGAGATTGCCTAGCAAGTACAGGATGCCTCTGGAACACGCCCGAAAGCGAACCTGGTCTTCCTAGACTTCCTCCTCCAAACAGAAGCAACAACAAATCAAAAGCACTTTTTAAAGGCACATCAAGTGTCTGGGGTGGGTGGGTGGTTTGGATCCAGACATAGTTTGCAATCCTAACCCCGCTTAATTGGGAGTAAACCCCACTGAATTCAATGGGGACTTTTCTGAGTAGACATGGTTGGGACTGCAGTGTTCTTTCCACAAAAGAACACTGGGCAGTTATCTTTCCACAAGGGCAGACATTGATGCCGAAATCCAGCATCGCCTGAGCTCTGCGCGTGCAGCTTTCTCCTGATTGAAGTGCAGAGTGTTTGAGGACCAGGACATTCGCAGGGAAACCAAATGCTTGTTTACAAAGCTATGGTACTACCAACCTTACTGTATGCTTGTGAACCACGGACCACTTATAAAGGCCATCTCCAACTCCTCAAAAGATTCCACCAAGGGTGTCTCCGAAAAAAATCACACATCACCTGGGAAGACAGGCGAATTCATGCCAGTGTACTGGAAGAAGCAAAGATCCCCAGTGTCAAAGCAATGATTCCTCAACATCAACTTCGTTGGACTGGTCATGTTGTGTGGATACCCGATTACCGTCTTCCAAAGCAACTACTCTATTCCAAACTTACAAATGGTAAGCGTAATGCTGGTGGTCAATAAAAGAGGTTCAAAGACTCTTTCAAGGCAAATCTTCAAAAATGTAGTCTAAACACAGACAACTGGTGTTTGGAGCCTTTACCAAAGGGCTTGTGGACTTTGAAGATGCTCAAACTCAGGACGAAAGGGAGAAATACGCTAAGAGGAAGGCACGCTTGGTAAACCCCCATCATGATCAACTCCCACCTGGAACCCTATGTCCCCACTGTGGAAAGACGTGTGGATCCAGAATTGGCCTCCACAGTCACTTACAGACTCACTTTTAAAACCGTGTTTATAAAAGACAATCTTACTTGGCTACGAGTGATCGCTAAAGAAGTTAGTTATAATTAGAGTTGACCCACTGAAGACTTGTGTTACATGGAAGCATGACTAAGTTCAGATTCAACCCATCCTTCATTTCTAAATGTTATTTCTAAAAGGTATACCCCTCTCTTCACTGATCTATTTGCATTAGCCTTTCACGTAGGATCAGGCATCTATTCTGCGTGCAGAAGGTCCCGGGTTCAACCCAGATAGGGGTGGGAGAGGCCCTGTGTCTGAAACCCTGGAGATCTACTGCCAGTCAATGTGAACAGTACTACACTAGGTGGACCAATGGTCTGACTCCATATAAAAAATCCTGCCTTATCTCTCCCTCCTGCCTCTTTTTGTTCAGGTCACAACCCTCTCACCTAGTGGGACAAATTTAGGCATTCTGTTTCACCTCTCAACTCTGCCCCAAGTAGCCATTGCATCTGGTGCATCCCCCCTGTTATTCTGCTCTACTGTTTGCAAACATTTATCTGAAACTTCGTATTCTGAGCCAGCGTGGTGTAGTGATTAAGAGTGGTGGACTCGTAATCTGGTGAACCGGGTTCGATTCCCTGCTCCTCCACATGCAGCTGCTGGGTGACCTGGGGCTAGTCACACTTCCCTGAAGTCTCTCAGCCTCACTCACCTCACAGAGTGTTTGTTGTGGGGGAGGAAGGGAAAGGAGGTTGTTAGCCACTTTGAGACTCCTTAAGGAAAGTGAAAGGCGGGATATCAAGTCCAAACTCTTCTTCTTCTATCTGGAACTGAAGCCCACCCACTTATTCTCGAGAAAAATTAATAACATGAGTTTTAGTCGATTAAAATGGTTGATTGGGTCCGCAGGCATTTGTAATTCTCTGCATGTTGACATGGAAGCAAATCTCACTGAGGCCTACTGCCAAGTAAGTGTTTTTAATTATCTTATGTATAAATTGCCTTGAGGCAGTTGTTTAAAAGGCTATTAGTAATATTAGTTATAATAATAAAAATAAGTTTAAAGGTGGGTGTAAAGATTGTAGCAGCCATAGAAAACTATTCCGTTCTCAGTAAACCTGTGTGATCCAAATATGCCAGAATACAGAATATTATTTCTTATAGCATAACCCACCAAGAAATTATCCAGTGTAAGCCAACTGGAAATAAAAGGGAGTTACACCACTTCATGTTAGGGCTCCTATTTATGTAAATGAATCGTCAACCAGAGATTTTCCTTGTTAATTAATAAGCAACAGGGAGCCAGTGGGATGATGATGATGATGATGATGTTGTCGTCGTCGCTGCCACCACCACCACCTTTTGTTTTAAAATGCAAGCTTCTGAATCACAAAGAACTCTTCCTCAGAATGTCCAGTTCAAGAAACATTCTGTACGGCTCAAAAGCTTGCACCCAAACATTTTCAGCAGCTGTTGAATGCAAGGAATTACATTGCTGAACTGTTTCTGTTTATTCTGAGTCCCCCCTCCCCAAAATCACTTATGTTTGATGCAACCTGGATTCCCACTCTTCCACCTATTGTAAGTTTCTCATTTTGTGAGGCCAGAAAAGCAGCAACAGCTTGATCTTGCTTATTTTCAACTGCACTTGCTTGAAATATCAAGGTGGAATTTTTGTTTAAGTGAAAGTTATTTTAAGATTCTTTAACTAACAAACAAAAAATGAAGGGGAAAATCATTTCTTTTTAAACTTCAGCAAACTAGTTTTTGGTTGTTGTTGTTTTTTAAAAAAACATTTGGGCCTTAATAAGTATGTTTGCAAATCCCTTTGACTTTAAGTCTAGACTAGGCTGGTATAACGCCCATGTTGGAGCCTTGGAAACTGGTAAGGACAGTGGTGTTTTCCATACATCAAGCCTATTTTAAGTAAAAGTGCTGGCTGCAAGCACAAAAGCCTGCTGACAACTTTCCACCAAGATTCTGCTGAGTGTTGGTTTAGGCTTGTGTTGATGGCAGGGTGGCAGATATATAAAGTCCTTGCACCCTTTCAGTTAAAATATGAAGGACAGTGCAAGGGCAATGCATTGATCTCACCGTACAAGCCACTTGCTTGCACCACCCACTAGTGTTGCATAGCAGCTAAGCCCCAGGCCAGGAACCCCACCATTCAAAAACCATGAATTAGGTGAATTCACTTCTGGGGGATGAGGCTGTCAAGGGCACTTCTGAGTACTGGTCTACTGAGCTCAGTACAGTCTGCACTGTCTGAAAGCAGCTCTCCAGGGTTTCAGATTGGGGTCCTTCTGTCGCCAGCGCTTGAACCTGGGGTTTTCTGCTTGCAGGGCAGATGTTCTGACACTGAACTATGGCCCACTTCCCCATAGGTGATGGGAAACTCCTCTCTTTGCCTGAAGCCCTCAAGAGCTGTCCAAGTTGACAATATCATGCTAGAAGGACCAAGCGTTTGACCTGGTTTAAGGAAGTTTGCAATATATTTCATGCCAGTCACAGCAAAGCCTTCTCCAATGACAACCCCAAACCTTATCCTAAGAATGTTTTCTATAGACTACTAGGTAGTGCCTAGATTGTGGAACACACCCTCTTCCCCGGAAGATGTTCCAGGCTCCGTTCTGCTTGCACTGGGTTATTTTTGTTGTTGCTTTGTTCCAGCGGGCTTTTAACACCTGGTGGTTTCCACGTTGGGCTGGTTCCTAAGGTCTTCTGGTGGTTCCCTCATTGCGAGATGTGAAGTTACATGGAACCAGGGAGAGGGCCTTCTCGCTAGTGGTGCCTGCCCTGTGGAACGCCCTCCTATCAGATGTCAAGGAAAGAAACATCTATCAGACTTTTAGAAGACATCTGAAGGTAGCTCTGTATTGAGAAGTTTTTAATGTTTGATGTTTTGCTGTGTATTCATGTTGGAAGCTGCCCAGAGTGGCTGGGGCAAACCAGTCAGATGGGCGGTGTATAATTTCTTCTTCTTCTTCTTCTTCTTCTTCTTCTTCTTCTTCTTCTTCCTCTTCCTCTTCCTCTTCTTCTTCCTAGCTGTATCCTATTGACATGTTGTTTACTGAGATTTTATTGCAGGGGTGGAGATCTTGAGACCCTCCTGGTTGTTGGACTCCAGTTCCCATCAGCCCCAACCAATGTGGCCAAAGGCCAGGGATGGTGGGATTCAACAACATTAGGAGGGATGTTTTTAGACTTCAAACTATTTATGTCTACAGATAGAAAAGAGACCCAACAATGAGAATATATGAATAGCATTTCTCAGATGTTCTGAACCTGCGCCCTCACTTCTGAATTATCCCAACATAGATAATGCGTCGATAAAAGTATTCCAACAGGTGAACACCCAGTCTGGCACTCCCAAGACATTTTGGACTACAACCCCCCCATCAGTCCTAGCCACCACTTCCCCAGATGTGGCCTCCAGATGTTCCAACTACAGCTCCCATCCGAGTAAGCCCCAATGGAGACAGGATTGCTCTGCAAAGCAGAGGATTTAGCACTGGACTTAATGCATCTTAACGGGAAAGGGACATCTGTAAGCCTTAGCCTAGAAACAGATTAATGTCTGGTCAGTTTAGAATAGAAACTCGAGGACTCGGGAGGTATATTTCTGAAAACATGGGCTGACTGTAGCAGTATTTATATCCGTTTCTTTACGGGATGTGTTCGTTCCCAGGCTGGTGTGTGGGTGTGCGTGACTGAATACTTCTTGGCTTGCTGTCTGCCTTCCTGTACACCTCTTGACTGAAGTATGTGATTCATAAGAACGCAGTCCTAAGCTGTGAATGAAAGGGTGTGTGATCCAAGACTGACTAGCTTTGCACTTATCCCACAACCTATGCATGTGTGCCTTCTTCAGAGCTAGTATGGCATTGTGGATGAAAAGACTGAGCTGTAGGCCAGGAAGTTTCCTGGATCAAATCCTCTTTTTGGGGGGTAGCCTTAAGCAAGTGGCTTGCAGCCTCACGGCTCCCCATGTCCTCAATATGGGAATGGCAAACCACTTCCAGACTGCCCCCACTTCCAGGTAGGATTCAGTCACACACCAACAAATTCAGATTGCAGAATTAAAGCTGATCGGGAAGTCCTGGGCGACAAGCCTGCTTTCCAAAGAAAGACTAGAGGTTGCTGGAAACCATTGGAGAATTGCTCTTGTGCTTGTGTTCTGCTCCCTGGTTTCCCACATCTGGTTGTCACTGTGAGAACAGGATGCTGGACTAGATGGGACCCTGGCCTGATCCAGCAGGCTAGTCTTAGATACTGATGACCGGACTTTTTGTGATAAGGAAAGGGAGGGGAAAATGCATCGGGAGAGTACTTGCTTTGAGGCAACGTCACCCAAGTTCCCCGAATGCCCACTAAACAGCCAATATCACCTACTCTCAACTGCAAACAAATCAGGACAAATGCTCGATAAACAGGTTTTCTGGAAGCACCCAAAATTCTGGGTGACCTAACAGAGCGGTTGTAAGGAATACTGAAACACCCTGGGTACTATTATTCTATCACCAGCGGAGCTGATTTTGTGGGTCTACTAGTATATACAGTCATACCTCGGGTTGAATGTGCTTCAGGTTGAGCATTTTCAGGTTGCGCTCTGCGGCAACCCGGAAGTAACAGAGCATGTTACTTCCAGGTTTTGCTGCTTGCGCATGCACAGACGTTCAAAATGACATCACACGCATGTGCAGAAGTGGCAAAACGCGACCCGCGCACGCTCAGTTGCGCCTTACGTTCCATTCAGGATGTGAACAGGGCTCCAGAACGGATCCTGTTCGCATCCCAAGGTACCACTGTATCTACTTTTGCAATTCCACAATCACCTCTTTCTGCATATATAGATTGTAGAAGTGCATTTATGCATCAGAGTGTACGTCTACTCTCTGCAAGCAATGCTTATCTGCACAAATGTGTGAAGTGTGTGTGTGTGTGCGAATCTACCTCCTTGGTTGCTAATTTGGCTTGTGGAGTGACTGAAAGACTGATTGCATATATTTCAGGAGTTGAGATTGACTTTCCTCCGCAGTGTCCCCGATGCCTCCCTGCTTGGACTGGAAACTAAACTGTAAATGAAGTACGTACATGTGCCAGACTGCACAGAGATGCTAGGGGCCCAGCAGCCTGATGGAAATGCAGATTGCCTCCTCTGTTGAATCAATGGAATGAATCAGTTGAATCCATTGATAAGCAAAGAGGAGTTCATTTGGGCTGACACTTCATTTCCAGGTCCAATCCAAGGAGTTCACAACAGTATTTTAAAGGGCTAAATGACTCAGGCCCAATATCTGAAAGACCACCTTCCCTACAGACCCTCAGGCGTTAAGCTCAGCACCCTGAGCTTCCACCACCCTCTTAAGTCTTTTTGAGAGGTGGCCATTCTCTCTGGCAGCCCCCAAACTGTGGATTCCTTTCTCACAGAGCTGCATCTGGCAGCTTCCATTCTTGTTTTCAGTGAACAGCCTCTGACACCCGAGAGATGTGTGTTTTTAGGACGCACCCTGTTTTTGGGTGATTTTTAAAACTGTTTTTAATGTTGTATTTTAAATTGTTGTAACCTGCCCTTGGACCTAAGGGTAAAGGGAGGGTAATAAATTAAAATAATAATAGGCTTCTCCTTGGCTGGTAACTGTCTGCATGTGCACACAAAAGTGTTTGTGTGTGTGTGTTGGTCCCCACTTACTTCTTGCTCCCCCATCACTGATATGTAACACTCCCTGGGTTGGCCAGGGACTAGCAATCCCTTTATCTATATATGAATCATCTATGTATACACAGATTACTCTTGGTGGGTGAATTGTTTTTACTAACAGAATTGTTCTGATGTGCACATTCCTCAGTTTTCTTCTTGTGCTCATACCTTTATACGTCTGTTCCCCGACTGGGTGATTGGGTGGGCATTAATGTTTATCTGTCCTTTTGACTTGCAAGGACACATCCGCAGCAAGCTTGCCTTGCATGCGCAAGACATAGAGTTCAGTGCCACCAATGTATACTGATGACACTGGGAACTGTTATCTTATTTCCATTCTGCTCCTACATTGTGTACTCAGCGTCTGTCGATGATGCACTTTTCAGAAACCTAGGGGGGGGGGGGAGGCGTGTCTGCATGTAAGAAATTAGCCTACCGTGCAAAGATAAAATTAATGTTCCTTGTTTTGCCCACTTTTGCTTCCAGTATACCTGAAGGAGTGTCTCCACCCCCATCGTTCTGCCTGGACGCTGAGGTCCAGTGCCAAGGGCCTTCTGTTGGTTCCCTCACTACGAGAAGCCAAGTTACAGGGAACCAGGCAGAGGGCCTTCTCAGTAGTGGTGCCCTCCCATCAGATGTCAAAGAAATAAACAACTATAGGACTTTTAGAAGACATCTGAAGGCAGTCCTGTTTAGGGAAGTTTTTAATGATTGACGAATCACTGTATTTTAATATTCTGCTGGAAGCTGACCAGAGTGGCTGGGGAAACCCAGCCAGAAGGGCGGGGTAAAAATAAATTATTATTATTATTATTATTATCACACTCACCACTGGCAAATGGCCCCCAGAAGCCTATGTGGCCCTTGGGCTTCAAAAGGTCCACTATCCTTGCTGTTGGTTACAGGTAGGTAGCCGTGTTGGTCTGCCGTAGTCAAAACAAAATAATATTTTTTTAATATTTTGTTTTGACTTGTTGCTGGTGTTGGCCTTGAGAGACAATGGAAACAAACCGCTGTGTTAGCAGCACCAAAGTGAGCTCCCTGAGGTGCAAGCCTGGGCAGTGTCTGGAGGTCCGGGGTTGCCCAGAGGACGCCCCCCCCTGGCTTTTTGCCTTTCCTTCTTCCAAAGATATCTCACAAGGCAGCAGAAGTTTAGGATCATTTTTTCTTCTCCTAGATGGGCTTCCTTCCCAGGTTGACAAGCCCCACCTGCCCCTCACTTCCCTTTACAGCAGCACATACAGAAACTGCCTTCTTGACATGTTTCAAACACATCCCTTTGCTTGCCTGCCTGCCTGCTTTACTCAGATATGGTGTAATCTTACCTTACTGAGAATGCAACCTGATTTGCTTGCAAGGCGATTAGACAATGCTAGCTATTTGATGAGCATTCATTCTGACTTGTTTATGGGGAGGCTAGACTATGTTGCATCAGGCACGTGTTATCCTATCCCTTTCCTTATTGCAAAGCGGATTTGTTGTGCAAAAACTCACAATCAATCCGGCAACCTGAATTTGCCAGTGAAAACAGAAACAGAACCTGAAAACAGAAATGGGCCGGAAGTGCCCCTAGAGTTAGACCCTCACCCCCACACCCCCTGCGCGACGCAAATGCACACACAATTCCTGCTCGAAAGCTCGCACACAACTTTATAGCTTTTTAAAAGG